AAGAGGAGTCCGGATCCTCAGGGAGGCTCTTGATCTGCATGCTGGGCAGACAGTCAGACAGACAGACTCGCCCTCCACGGGGTGATGGTGAGGATTGGAGCTTGGTTTGGGGCGTGTGGGCCTTGACCTGCCGTGTACCTGTGCGTTCTGCAGTTGTTGCTGGAGCCTCATCTGGGCAGCAGCACAGCAGCATCACAGGAACCAGCGAGTGTAGGAGGGCTGGGTGGGCTCTAGGCAGAGAGGCAGCATCATGGAAGAGTGCATGTAGGGGGCTCAGGGTCCCAAACCAGAGCGGGGCTGGGGCTCACACTTCAGTGTCTCAGATGTTGGTTGAGCACCTGCTGTGTACCCCAGTTCCTGATTCTAAATGACCAGCTCAACACTTGCCTTACGTTGTTGGCAGGCCAGTCGCTCTGTGCCTCCCCTGTCTCCAGTTCCTCACCCCAGCCCTTGTCCTCCACAGTGGCCTACCCTGCCTCCAGCTATAGCCACACAGATAAGGCCTCTTGGGCTGAATGTGTAAGATTTGAATGAGAAGGGTAGTGGGGTGCCCCAGCCTCATGGAGCCTACCTCGTGGGTGTGGGAAATGTACCTGTCAGTTTCTGGAAGCTCATGATAGAGTCTCTGTCCAGCCCAGGCACTGGCACCCAGCCTGGGTCAAGCTCTGCCATTTAGAGCAAGTGATCCTGAGTCACTCACTAGATGTCCCTAAGCCTCAGTGTCCTGTGGACACAGCAGGGTCTATAGCACATGCCTACTCAGGCAGAGAGGTGGAGTCTGTGTCTGATTCCAGTGGCATTCATTAGATGCTCACAGTGTTGAGAAATGATATGATATTATTTACCCAGTGTGTGCCTAGGGTTTTATCACTTTGGGGACACTGCCTTTGTCAGGAGAGGCAGTGTCTTAGTCCATTCCTGTCACTATAACAAAATGCATGAGACTGGGTAATTTGTAAACAACAGAAATTTATTGCTCACAGTTGTAGAGGCTAGAAGTCCAAGCTCGAAGTGCCAGGCGTGGTGTCTGCTGAGGGCTGCTCTCTGCTTCCAAGATGACACCTTGATGCTGCATCCTCCAGAGGGGAGGGACACTATGTCCTCACGTGGAAGAAGGGCTCTAGAGCACTCCCTTCAGCCTTGTTTACAAGAGCATTAGTCCGTTCACAAGGACAGACCCCTTGTTGTGAGGTTGTCGCCCAGGAAAGGAACCAAACATTTAATTAAGAATTTTAACAGAG